GCTCTATATTTATTTAGAGAACTACGAGTTCAGCATGCTCTCGGAAGCTTTCTGTGTTGGCGAGACGGCACTTCAGCGGTGGTCGTTCCAGTGTCGAGTGGGTTGCACACTTCAGGCTGCACTACCCCCTGTCGTGTTGCAAGCGGCCATCTCCCCTGTGCGCCTCAGCACTAAAAGATAATTTCCTAAAAGAGCAAATTTCTCTAAAAGAGCTCCACAGGTGCGTCTTTATAAAGACAACGGATCGTCCTTATAAGGATGCCGTTTCACCCGTGCGTTTCTGGGTGCGGTCGTTACCTGGCACCAGGTGATGGTCACGATCCCTCGATGGCGGTGCAGCGAAGGGGTATTCGGCGATCCCCCCGGTGGAGCGGGTGGTAGCGATGTAATTGTGTCCTAAGTCCACCTCCTCCTGGCGGGGAGACCCGGTACTTCCTTACCGGGCCTGCAGGCATTCATCTGGTCTAACCGGCAGTTCCTATACGGCTTGCGGGGAAGCTGATTCCACCTTACACGCTATGGCGAGGTGCACCAGGCTAAGGCACTGAAGGACCTGCATGAGGGTGGTCACGATCCGGAAGTTCTGAAAGAGCTCCGAACCGCCACTGACCTCACGCTCCGAGCGACGAAGGTCACCGCGAGTTCTCTGGGTCGTGCAATGTCCACGCTTGTGGTCCAGGAGCTCCATCTCTGGCTGTGTCTGGCAGACATGAGGGACACTGACAAGGTTCGGTTCCTCAATTCCGCTGTGTTCCAGACCGGCCTCTTCGGCGACGCAGTCGAGAGCTTTGCCCAGCAGTTCTCGGCTGCCCAGAAGCAGACAGAGGGGATCCGACACATCCTGCCCCGGTGGGCAGCTGCTGCCTCCACCCGTGCTCCCGCGCCACATCTGCAGCAGCCATCAGCAAAGCAAAGAGCCGAGTGTGGGCGGCCCGCCCCGCCTGTCCAGGCCCCCGTCAAACCTGGTGGCAAGCAGAGAAGCAAGCGGCCCTGAGACAGGCGACCCAGAGATGGAGGGATCTGCTCTTCGGGAGATGGTGAACGCACAACCCTCCCCCGGAGGAGGGCCGGGGGGAGAATCTTTTGTTTAATTTTTTCCCGCCAAATTCTCGACAAAAGAGCAGTTTCCTTTATCTCTGGGTCTCAGGAGGGCACGGAGAGTTGCGGACAGACTAACGCTGGACCTCACTCATCCTCCTCCTTGTTGACAGCAGCGGGCAGCAGCGGGCGGTTCGAGAGTGTCAACAAAGGCCCTACTCACGCACCCTCTGCAAACCTGTGGAACCAGGTGAGCCTTGCACACCACACTCACACCCCTCTCCAGCCCGCTCACAAGCCGCCCGAGTTGGGTCCCTGTGTTCCACCTCGCAGCCCCACTGTGGGTACGGCTGTGGTTCCGCTGGTCCCGCTTGTATGGTTTCTGGGCGCTTGGTCAGCGCTACCCAGCCCATCTCGCTGGCTTCTGCAGACCATCAGCCTCGGCTATGTGATTCAGTTCGCCCGGCGCCCACCCAAGTTCAGCGTTATCCGCTTCACTACAGTGAGGGCGGCTGATGCCCCTGTTCTACGGGCAGAGATCGCAGTCCTACTGGCGAAGGATGTGATAGAGCCGGTCTCTCCGGCCGATATGAGGTCGGAGTTTTACAGCCCTTACTTCATTGTATCCAAGAAAGGTGGTGGGTTACAGCCAATCTTGGATCTGCGAGTTTTGAACCGGGCCCTTCATCGGCTACCGTTCAAGATGTTGACGCAGAAATGCATCTTCGGGTGCGTCCGTCCCCGAGATTGGTTTGCAGCGATCGACCTGAAGGACGCGTACTTTCATGTGTCGATCCTTCAGCGCCACAGACCATTTCTGCGGTTTGCGTTCGAAGGATGGGCATATCAGTACAAGGTCCTGCCCTTCGGGCTGTCCCTGTCCCCCCGTGTCTTTACGAAAGTCGCAGAGGCAGCTCTTGTTCCCTTCAGAGAGCAGGGTGTTCGCGTTCTCAACTATCTAGACAATTGGCTCATACTAGCACAGTCTCAGGATCAGTTGTGCGAGCACAGGGACCTGGCACTTCGGCACCTCAGCCTGTTGGGCCTTCGGGTCAACTGGGAAAAGAGCAAACTCTCCCCGACGCAGAGGATCTCTTTTCTTGGTATGGAGTTGGATTCGGTCGAACAGACAGCGCGCCTCACAGAGGAACGTGCGCGGTCGGTGCTAGCCTGCTTGAATACGTTCAAGGGCAGGACAGCGGTGCCACTGATACTTTTTCAGAGGCTCCTGGGGCATATGGCGGCCGCAGCGGCACTTACACTGCTTGGCCTGTTACATATGAGACCACTCCAGCACTGGCTTTATGGCCGAGTCCCGAGGTGGGCGTGGAAGTTACCGGCTCCAAGTTACACCGGCCTGTCGCCAAACCTTCACCCCGTGGTCAGATCTTGCGTTCCTCCAGGCAGGGGTGCCCCTAGATCACGTACTAGTCCGAACGGACAACACAGCAACCGTTGCATACATCAACCGACAAGGTGGTCTGCGCTCCCGTCGCGTGTCGCAACTCGCCCGCCACCTCCTCCTTTGGAGTCGGAAGGTTCTGAGGTCACTTCGTGCTGTTCACATTCCGGGCCTGCTCAACCGTAAAGCCGACGAGCGGTCTCGAGCAATGCTCCCGGGAGAATGGCGACTCCATCCCCAGACGGTCCAGCTGATTTGAAGACGTTTCGGAGCCACTCAGGTAGACCTGTTTGCTTCTCCAGAAACCTCTCACTGCCAGCTGTTCTACTCCCTGACCGAGGGAACACTCGGCACAGACGCACTGGCACACAGCTGGCCGCAGGGCCTACGCAAGTATGCGTTTCCCCCAGTGAGCCTTCTCGTACAGACACTGTGCAAAATCCAGGAGGACGAAGAGCAAGTCTTGCTAGTGGTGCCATATTGGCCCACTCGGACCTGGTTCCCCGAGCTAGTGCTCCTCGCGACAGCCCCTCCTTGGCCGATTCCTCTGAGGAAGGATCTACTGACTCAGAGACGGGGCACGATTTGGCACCCGCGTCCAGACCTTTGGAAACTCCATATCTGGTCCCTGGATGGGACGCGGAGGTTCTAGGTGACCTACCTCAGGAGGTACTGAACACCATCACTTCGGCAAGAGCACCATCTACGAGACACGCTTACGCCTTGAAGTGGAACCTGTTCGTCGAGTGGTGTTCTTCTCGCCGAGAAGACCCCCGGAGATGCCCGATTGTGGTCGGGCTTTCCTTTCTGCAGCAAGGGCTGTAGCGAAGGCTGTCTCACTCCACCCTCAAAGTCCAGGTTGCTGCTATTGCTGCGTACCATGACCCAGTGAATGGGAAGTTGGTAGGTAAGCATGGCCTCGTCATCAGGTTCCTTAGAGGGGCCAGGAGGTTGAATCCTTTCCCGGCCCCCCTCTATACCCTCTTGGGACCTGTCTTTAGTGCTAAAATCACTACAGCAGGGCCCATTCGAGCCTTGGCATTCAGTTGAGCTAAAGTTTCTTTCATTGAAAACTCTGCTCCTGCTTGCACTGGCCTCCATCAAGAGGGTAGGGGACCTGCACGCATTTTCAGTCGACGATTCGTGCCAAGAGTTTGGGCCGGCTGACTCCCAGGCAATCCTGAGGCCCCGGCCAGGCTAAGTGCCCAAGGTTCCCACCACACCCTTCAAAGACCAAGTGGTGAACCTGCAAGTGCTACCCCCGGAGGAGGCAGACCCAGCCCTGGCTTTGCTGTGTCCTGTCCGAGCATTGAGGTGATACGTAGACCGGACACAAAGCTTCAGGACCTCAGACCAGCTCTTTGTCTGTTACGGAGGCCGGCAGAAGGGGTATGCCGTCTCTAAGCAGAGGATGGCCCACTGGATTGTGGTGCTTCCGCAGCATCCCTGTTCCAAGTGGAGCGGGTACGTTTTCCCAGTGTTATCCAATCTCACTCAGTATGGTAGTGCTTTGAAAAATGGTGAGTGGAACTACTTGTCCCGAGCCCCGGCCAGATAGACACAGGGCACTGGAAGGGGCAGCACCATGGCGCTTTGGTAGGGATCCCAATTCGTCGGTCACCGACGTGACTCGGAGTGACCGACGGAAAGGGAACGTCACGGTTACGTATGGTAACCCTCGTTCCCTAAAGGAGGGAACGGAGACGTCAGGTCACAGGTGGTCTACACCAGCTAGACCACCTAAAGACCAGTTTGGCCAGGCTGGGGGCCCATCCTAAAGCAACTTTTTTTTTAAATACCATCTTAAACTAGCTAAGACCACCAAACCACCTTATAGACACTTTGTTAGTGGGCTTTGCATTCAAATGTGGGAAATGCTTGTTGAAAATTATTGCGCTACATATAAAGCATTTATGAATGTTAATATTTTACTGGCTGGTCTATAAAAATAATGTACAGGAAAATTGTTTGTTTGTTTGTTTATTTCTTTCTTAATGCCAATCCAGCATCTATGGCTTGAATCATGGTGAGAACCAGTTAATCCATACACAAGTCTTGTCTTTACACACACGTCCGGGGAAAACTTTGAATGTTCAATTAACCTAACCTGCATGTCTTTGGGCTGTGGGAGGAAACCGGAATACCCGGCGTAAACCCACGCAGACACAGGGAGAACATGCAAACTCCACACAGAAAAGCCTCCTGTCCTTGCCAGGGCTCGAACCGGGGACCTTCTTGCTGAATGTGCAGGAAAATAAGACTATAAAATATATAAAGAGTTTCCTATTATTTATGTTCTTTTTTTTAGTTAAGCCAATTGGCTTAATTAAGCCAATTAAGCTGACACCGTTTACCCCATTTTCTCTCATGTTAACAGCCCTTGCCACAAGTCTGTTATCGCTTTTTTCCCAAGACGTCTGTTGACTTTTCACTCTTTCCTTGTATTTAGACAGAACACATTAGATTCGCTGTCACCGATTTACCATGCAAACTCCGCCTAACTCCGTTTATCTCATCAACTAAGGACTGGCACGTCATTAGTCATTTCTGCACTACTTACCTCTTGTACCATCCATCCATCCATCTCCGTCTCTCTCCATCATGTTCGGTTGCGTTCATTTCCTACTTCATCTGCTCTCAGGTTCAAGTGTTAGCACATTCCTGAGGATGACAGTAAAGAGAGGCTCATTACTTTCACAACATAAACAATAGCAGCTGCTGCAACACCTGTAACCTAAAAAAATTATTACTACGATTATATAATAGATGCATGTTAGTCCTAATATTCACAGTTGGTGTGTGTGTGTGTGTGTTTCTAGCTATAATGATCAGTCAAAAATGGTCAATAAGTGTTGGGTTATTCTCCAAAACCACCCAGCCAGTTCAAAGAGAAGCAGTATCCTGAAGAAACAAAGTGAACATGGAAAGTGTGAAAGAAACAAGAACAGACAGAAAACTCCAAAAAGAGTGAAAGAATGAGACAGTGTTTGATACAGAGCGGTAAGTTGATATAATAGGGGCCTGTCTCTCGTGGTTTTAAATGGAGGATTTGGCCTTCACGCCTCTCAGTGCCATTCTTAAGGAAAGCGGATTTCCGCTGCCGTGACGACCATTATCCTGGTTTCCTGGCAGTAATCCGCCATACTAGGGCCGTAATAGGACAGAGCATTGCAGAAAGTCAGGGGGCTGTTGCTGCTAGTCACTGCCGCGGGGATCACGGTTCTAGATCTGCCACAGAGAAACACAAGCCGATCTGATACAGCTGATGAAACAGTCATGCACAGCTGGCCTGAAGAGACAACACCACAAAGTCTGACGTTTACAGTTTTAACTTCAAACTGGAGATAATGTGCATCGCATCGCATCGCATTTACATATACTATCCATCACAAGTAGTACGCAAGATAATATAAGGTCTGTCTATCTATCTATCTATCTATCTATCTATCTATCTATCTATCTATCTATCTATCTATGTGTCTGTCTACTAATCAGGCATAAGATAATAAATAAATGTAACTATTCTGATTTCTAAACAGTTTCATTATAAGCAGCACTTGTAAGGAAAAAAATGGAAATTTTCATTTTCAAATGATGACATAAATAATGAATTCTTGCAAAAAAAAAATTTTTATAGTGACTTTCAAATGATTTTTATTTTCATAAATGCATTACGTAAATGTCCTTGAATCTATTAAACAACAATACTAACTAAACAAAAAATATGGTAGCATATTTCATTGCTTTCTTTTCTTTTGTGAAACACTACTCACAATGTGCTTTTTCTGTAAGTTACTGGTAGTAACTACATGTTGTCATATTAACAACCAGTAATTTCACTGATTAGGTCTCACAGCTGAAAGCTGTATATGGTTGATTCACTAAAAACAGTCATTTATCTATGAATCAGACTGCACTGATTGTGCTGTGTGTTTTGGTTACTTTAGCTTACAACAAAAACTACTACCAAAATATCCTGTTTTGTGTTCTTTGTCCCTGTTTCTACACTACGGTGAACTGTAAACAAGTCTTCCAATTCATCTAGCTTCACACAATCTCCTCTGAGCTGCTGATGTTGAAACATCTGTAATTCCAGCGGCTGCACTTCAGGCTCAGGTAATCAACCAATTTCAGAGACTTATGACTCGAATGAACTTGTTCTCTGATTTCCAGGACACTCTTCGCCTGTGTGACCATTGTTCCGTCCTCCAGATTGTTCATTTCGTAAAGTTGTTTGAAAATCTTGACCACCATACAGTATGTCTGAAATGACCATTACTTTTTTTGTTAAGTGTGTTACATTTGTGGAACTGTGCAGGCAGTGCCATTGCTTTTTATTATAATTTACACATAGGCCTGTGTTTTAACTCTACTTTCAGACTTAATTGACACTACTGAACTTCCCTTGCAGAATCTTTCATTTAAATATTAAATTTCTGAGTGCAGTTCAAATGTATATTGGTACACAAATAATATAAGGAACTATTGAATATTCATAGATAATTCTATAAATTAACTTCACACATACATGCTCTCATTCTTTGTGCACCGTATTGTCTAAATGCACAGCTTAAAATGATCTAGTGGTTTTCCATAAACACCACCAGGGTGGTTTAGTGTAACAGTCACTATTCATTGATTCTAGACATTCACACCAACCAAAACAAAACAGAGAAGCATGATAGAGGAACAGAAATGGACGAGAAGGACCTACCGAGATTACAATCATTTACAATCTAGAAAAATCTATTTTTAAGTGTCAGATTCATGTTTTCATTAATAACGAGAGACGAAAGTTCAATTAAACTTGTCTAAAATCTTTACAGGGTTTTCACTACAACTCATGGGGCCTTGACAAAATTTTGAGTTTAACTCTGTAAACAAAATACAACTTTCATAAATTACCTCAGCATACACATCTCTGAGGAATAAAAAAATGATCATAGTTTGATACATCCTGTGAACCCACACACACGTTTACACTCACATACACCTCTCTCATTCTCCGTCTCTCTCTCTCTCTCTCTCTCTCGCTCTCTCTCAAGAGTCACTGCAGTCCAGGGAGGGCCGTCCCAGCCAGGCAGGCTGTGAATATTCATGATCAGGAGTGAGTTGCAGTGGAGGTTGCCATGGAGGCGTTGAGTTATTCATCATTCTTCAGGAGAAGAGACACAGGAGTCATCCCTCAGTGCTGGAATATTAACGAGACACATTAATAAAATATCCAGCCTCTCTTTCTCCTGCCTCTCTTTTACCTACAGATCACAGGAACACAGTTTTCAGCAGGAGTCCCCATTTAAGACCACCATGCACACACATATATACGGTATGTATATGTAAACACACAGCTGTTCAAATACAGTAGAGGTATTTCGCATTCTATTAAAAAAAAATCAAAAAGGCTCTTGTTCCACTGAAACACTGTGACACATATACTTCTTAAATCATTTAAGCGTCACAAAAAAAGTCACAATCATCAACACAGAAATCCAACAATACAGCAAATCCCAACAGCCCGACTCACATTTCACAGAGATGACAAAGCATTTGATGGCAATGACACAATGCAGACTTTTCCAAGAAAGAACTAGTGGTAGTTCTAGGGTGTTTTTGTTTTATTGAAGCAAAAATAGAAAACATAGGATTAAAGTAAAGGATGATGATGTAAAAAAAGAGAGAGATAAGAAAGAATAGGCCGGCATTCAGGGGAGAGGTATGTTTAATTCACAGAGTGGCATTTCGGCTGTGTTATCAGGCTAACGTACAGAAGGCCAGGCCAGACACTGAGCTGAAATGTGCATCAGCGGTCGTGTAATATTAAAACAGCCAACTGTGCTTTCTTTCACACTCTCTCTGTCTCTCATGCTCCCTGCTCGCACTTTCTTTCTAAATGCATATTTCTGCTCTCAAGATAACCACAAAAAGCCTTCGATTTGCCCTTATTTTAGTCTCAGTTGTACAGCACACACCATTTCACAGCATGAGACAGCAACTCAAATCTCATCCCCATAGTTGTCACCACTGCTGAAGTATGAATAATAAATGCACAAAATGACTCTATAATAATCATAACAGTAATATTAGTTTTAATTATATTTGTAATTATGCTTGTCTCTGACAGAGCATTTTTTCTCATAAATCAATGTACTTTTTCATGTGAAGTTCATGTGAATCCTATAAATGTCTGAAAACCATGAGCATTTTTAAAAACATACAATAATAATAATAATAGTTCTCCTAAAAAAATTGCTGAAAATTTGCATGAGTTTGTTACGATTTATAGAAATTTAGCATCACATGTTCACCAGCGGATCCTCTGCAGTGAATGGGTGCCGTCAGAATGAGAGTTCAAACAGATAATAAAAACACCACAATAATCCATAAGTAAAAATAAGTTAAGATGAGTCTCTGACAGAGCATTTTTTCTCATAAATCAATGTACTTTTTCATGTGAAGTTCATGTGAATCCTATAAATGTCTGAAAACCATGAGCATTTTTAAAAGCATACAATAATAATAATAATAGTTCTCCTAAAAAAATTGCTGAAAATTTGCATGAATTTGTTACGATTTGTAGAAATTTAGCATCACATGTTCACCAGCGGATCCTCTGCAGTGAATGGGTGCCGTCAGAATGAGAGTTCAAACAGATAATAAAAACACCACAATAATCCATAAGTAAAAATAAGTTAAGATGATTTTAATTTCAATCTTGGTCAATCAATGGTCCATAATCTATAATAACACTTCCTCCGGTGAAAAAGTCCATCCCCTGTTGTCCTCTCACATCAAAATCCACTGACACATTTGTTTAGACCTGTTTTCACTTGTAGATGCTGCCTGATCTGTGCATATTCCTCTCAGATGAGACAACCTTTCACTGGAGAAAGCAATATTATTGATAGAGGACTGTTTTAGCTGTAAGCAACGTCTTTATGACAGTTTTGCTTTTCACAGATTAATTGATGGACTGGAGTCGTGTGGATTACTTGTGAATTATTGTGATATTTTTATCAGCTGTTTTGACTCTCATTCTGACGGCACCCATTCACTGCAGAGGATCCATTTGTGAGCAAGTGATGTAATGCTAAATTTCTCCAAATCTGTTCGGATGAAGAAACAAACTCATCTACATCTTGGACGGCCTGAGCATGAATAAATTATCAGCAAATTTGGGTGACCTACTCCTTTAATGTTTTGCAATATTTTCCCATTGTTTTACGCTTCATTTTCATTGTGGTGTTTCATTTTGTTTTTTTTGCCCCATTATTTAGTCTATCCTTACCCAGCTAACAAGAAAGAGGACTAGCAAGCTGACGGATTAACACGTTTCTGATGTTACTTTAAATTTTGATGATACTCTATTTCATACTTTCGGTTAAGGTTAGATATTTTGCCATTCAAATGCATATACTGTAAAGTGCACTGCTGATATGCCCACGTTTTTTTTGTTTTTTATTTTGCATGCCTCCACACTTCAACAATCACCTATTTTTATGAATGTTTCATACACTTAAGCATGAATGACGAATGAGAGCAGGATGTATGAGATTCTCTTTTCATAAAACTTGGAGTATCAGAATCGAAGCAGGATCATTTGAAACCCCACTTCCTATTCTCTTTTATTTTTCCCTTTACTCGCCATTTCTCCTTTTGATCTT